ATAGCATGGTAATTAAAGACGCAAGCTATGATCTGTGCTTCAGTTTCTACATCTGTAAAATGGGGATAATAATAGTGTTGCTTTTCCTAAAGATATTATATTATTAAATGAGTTAATATGTCTAAAGTCCTTAGAATAATGCTTGGCACATATTAAGCGCTATTTACATTTTAAATATTATTGATACATTTTTTTGATTTCTGTTTTCTCAAATATTGGGATAGATGATTTTGCTATTTGGTTCACTGTGCCGTTTTGACCTTCTGCTGTACTATTTTTGAAGCTCTCTGGTCATTCTTTATCAGAGATCAAACCTCAAAAACTGATAACAAACTGTATTGTAATCACTTATGGACAGTAGAAGACACAGAAAGAAAAAAGTGCATTTAATAGATAGGCAAATTGGAAAAGGTTAGCCTTGCAATTCTGTTTATAAATGAAATTGATTCATCTTCAGCTCTGCATAGCCTTGATCCATTCTGCTGGCCTGGTTCGTGCGTGGCTTGAATCACTTCAGAGCGCATGCTTTCTACTTCCTTTTGTCTGTTTGCCTCACATCAGACTCTAACAGATCCCCTCTCCTGACCTTGCCTTTGGCCACAAATGCCTTTTCTCACACTTGGCATGATGTGGGCTCCGCTCTTTCCATTAATTTCCATGTAAAGGAAGCTTTTGTGTTCCTGGCTCTAAACGGCAGACAGATTGGTTATTGCTTATTTATATTTTCACACAAAGTTTTAGGTACAGACTTGGTCTTCCATTTATTTGACTGTGGGGTTGAGGGTGAAAGGATCCTATCAAAATCAGGGCCATGGGCTCTTTAGAAATCTCTTGTCTTATAAAGATTAATGGAACTTTTTCAACGGGTTGCATAGGGGTCTTGGGATTTATGGATGGGTCTGATTTTGCATAAATTCTTTAATTTCCTCCCTCCACGGTCTCTTCCAGTATGAGTTGTTTAAATCTTGCAATTAAATTGCAGCAAAATTGAAATAAACAGTTCTATCTCAATAAAAGCAGCATCGTTGGATGGGATGCACAGTTAAATTGATTTTTTGTTGTAAAATGAAGATCAGCTAGGAATCCATTTTAGCTCAGTCTTTGATGAAAATATTTCTCAAAAGTGTACATCACTCTCCTACACAAATACTGAACATGAGAAGATTAGCTTGATTCAGTGCTGACCCTAGTACTTAACCTGAAAATCAGAGAATATCTTTGATAACAGCTTGTTTTTGTTTTCTCCTAAAAATAGATTTTGTTCATGAAAGAAAATTTGTTTCTTGAGTTCTGATTAATTGAGGGTTTGATATTTTTCTGTTAGCTCTTGTTTATATGCTACCACAGAATGAGGTGTGATCATAATATTTGGTCTGTCTGAGTCACTGTGGTTCATGAGGTCAGTTACATAAGTTGAAGTCTAATATTTCCAAGTCTCTGTGTAGCCAGTCGGCACGAGAACCAAATCTTTCAGTAATGTCTAGTTCTACCACATTCATATGAATATGACAAAAATTGAAAGAATGGTAGCATGTGTCTTTACACAAATGAGACAACATTTCAATATTCAGAGTAATTCTGAAAATAATACAGCAGACTCCCAGGTTACTACTGCCCAGATTTAACACAGGATTTGAAGGCTTTTAAATCCTTAAAAAATTGAATGTAAAAGGTGAAGGTGCCCGTCTCCCCTTGATATCTCTCCTTTCCCTCTCTCCTTAAAGGTTATTGTTCTGAAGATGATGCATGCATCGCTTACCTATTGCTGTGAAAAAATCACCCCAAAGACTTAGTGACTTAAAACAACAACCATTTGTTCTTGCTCATGAGTCTACAGGTCAGCTGGGTGTTCCTACTGATACGAAGTAGGCTGGGCGATCTTAGCTGGGATTGCTCACGTGTTCTATGTCAACTGGCAGGTCACCTGGGAGCTGGCTCGTTTTAGTACAGGGTTAATTGTGTATCTAGTGGTTAACTGATTGTAGGCTGGGGTGATAGGGTTGTCTGGGCCATGGGTTACTCATCACTCTGCAGGCTAGCCCAGGCTTATTCACAAGGTAGCAGCAAGATTCTAAGAAGGACATAGAATGGAGTGTGAAGGACCTGTGGCAAAGCATTGCTTCCACTACATACTACTGGTGAAAATGAGTGTCACAAAGACATCAGATTCAATGGATGGGAAAATAGACTTCATTTCTTAGCAGAAGGGGTGGTAAAGTCATGTTGTGAGGGGGAGTGGATTTCTAGGAGGGGAGGTATATTGTGGCCATTTCTGTGATCTACTGCAAAACATATGTACTTTTCCATGTATGTGTCTTTCATTTTTAGTAGATGTGTTCATATTTACAAATCATATTTTGTATTATAAAAATTAGCATAATTAATATCCTATTCAATATATGCTTTGCATATTGTTTTTTAAAAAATCACAACTATGTTTTTGGAATATACTGTTATGCTGAATTTAATGCATATAATATCACAACTTATGTATACTTTCTCTTGTCAATGGATATTTAAATTATTTCCCATTATTTTTCTCAATTATAAGCAAAACTGCAATGAACATGGTTGTACACAATTTTGTGTGCATACATCTGAGTTTCTCTAGGTACATTTCTAAAAACGAACCTGTTAGATTCTATGATATGCACATTTTCAACTTTATTGGCTATTACCAAATTGTTCTCCCAAGTAGTTAGACTAGTTTACATACCCCGTCAGGGTGTATAACAGCTTTATTTCCCATACATCCTTATGAATTGCACTTTGTATTATCAAAGTTATTTTTATTTTTGTAGAGCCACTTGGAGAGTATCATCATTTTAATTGCATATTCATTCAGTAAGGTTGAACATATTTCTACGTATGTTAGCCAGATAAAGTTCCCCTTCTGTGAATTAGTTGCCTAGTCACATATTTCAACACTTAAATTTTATTTTAAACATTAAAAGTGTTTCCATGGAATTATTTGTCTTTTTTAAATCAGTGGCAGTTAAAAAATATATAAATACTGGAAACCAGTCCTTTTTCAGTTATATGTATCATCTTTTAGATTGTGGCATCTCTTTGAACTTGGTTTATTGTGTCTTCTGTTATACAGATCCTTTTTAATATTAATATAGCCAAATATTTCAGTATTTTCTTTTATGGTTGGGCAGTTTTTATCTTGTTTGTGAAAATTTTTCCTACCAGGATGTCACAAACATATTTTCCTCTAAGATTTTGAAAGCTTTTCTTTTTACGTTTAGTTCCTTTATCCTTCTGGAATCTACTCTGTGTATGATGTAAAATAGGGATCTAATTTTATTTTTTTCCAAATAGAAAGCCAATTGTCCTGGCACAAGTTATTAAATAATCTTTTCTTTCTCGATGATTTATAATGCTAACATGTCATATCCCAAGTTCCTATGTAGACATGGATTTATTTCTGGGCCCTTTATTCTATTTGCTGGTCCCGTTTTTCCATCTCTGCACCATTGCCATACTCTTTTAATGACTACAGCTTTACAATGAGTTTCCTATCCAGTAGAGGGAATAGCTGTCCTTGTTCTCCTTAAAAATTGTCTCGCTCTTCTTGGCCCTTTGCTTGTTCTTCTTAAATTTAGGAGCAGTTTGCCAAGTAAAAGTGTGGAAATTCTCATGCAACAAGAAAAAGTAGAACCAGGTAAGGGGGATTGAGAGTGCAGGGGGAAATTTATTGTATTAAATAGGGTGATGAAGATAGGCCTCACTGAGAAGGAAGATTTGAGGAAAGATTTATGGGAGATACAGAAATTGTCCACATTATCCAGTTTTCTGAGGAACAGTCTTGTGAGCAGAAGGAAGAGGGTGGTTCTGGCTCTGAGCTAGATGTGTTCGAGGAAGAGCAAGGAGGCCAGTGAGAGTGGAGCAGAGTGAACGAGGGGAAGAGCACCAGGAGCTGAGTGCCTATGGGAACCAGTGAGCCACTGTAAGGATATTGACTTTTTTTCTGGGTGAGATGGGAAGTCCTTGCAGAGTTTTGAGTAGAGCTGTAACATAGCCTGACTTAAATTTTAAAACAATCACTCTGGCTCTTGTGTTGAGAATAGAATGTTAAGAGGTAAGTGTAGGAGCAGGAGACCAGTAATGGGGCTATTACTATAACCCAGGTGAGAAATGTGGTGGCTTGGACCCAGGTAGAAGCAGTGTAGGTATGAGAAGTAGCTGGATTCTGGATATATTTTTACGGGTAGAGTCAGTAGGATTTCTTCATAGATTGGGTGTTGGGTGTGAAGAAAGAGAGGAGACAAGGATGACTCCAAGGCTTTTGGCATGAGCAACTGGAATAAAGAATTGTTATTAACTCGTTAAGGAAGACCATGGGAGGAGCAGTTTTAGGGGAAGATCAAAACTCGGCTTTGGGCATGCTAAGTTTGAGATGCCTATTAGACATTTAAGAGGAGACGAGTCTGGAATTCAGGGAAGAGGTTCAGGGTGGGGATACAGATTTGGGAGTCCTCAGTATATACCTGGTATTTAAAATGTGGAGACATTTAAAATGTGTAGATGAGATCATCTACAAAGTGATGATCCAAAGACTAAGCTCCTTGCTAAGAAGTCAAAGAAACACACATGAGGGACCTTTTTGGGGTGAAGGAAATGTTCTAAAATTGGATTCCAGCGTGGTTGTACAACTCTGTACATTTACTAAAAATCGTTGAATTGTATGCTTAAAACGTGAAATTTATGGTTTATAAATTATGCCTCAATTTAACAGCCTTAGCTGTTAAAAAAGTACATTGAAAAAAGGGAGTCCAAGAGATGAGGAAGCACTAGTAAAGGATATTTGAGGAGTGGCCAATGGTAGGTGGAAAAAACAAGAAATCATGGGGTTCTGGCAAACAACTCAGTAGGATTTTCATTCTTTTTGTTTGTTCTTTCTTGCATCATTCCTCTACTATAGTTCTCATAGCTAAAAGTTGGATTGAAGAAATTAAAAATTGTTGCTTGCATTTACTTGAATATGCTCTTAATCCAGGTTGACATCCTTATTCTGTCAGCTCTTTCTGGAACAAGCAAATAACTTTGAAGTTTTACTGGATGGAATTCTCTCAGACTAAAAAAACTGATTAATATTGGAGAGAAGGAGTAATAAGAAGGGGAACAGTTGACTTCACACAGAGAATCTTTGCTAAGATGAGCTCTGCAGGTGCAGAAAGAACCATAGAGGAGGACGTCATCTGGGTCTGCTCTGAGTCCTAGACCTCTGGGCATGCTCCATCGTGGTGGTGGACGTCTTTGTAAGCAGAGAAGCAAAGTCTACGACAGTTTAAAATGACATTAAACAAATGCAGAAAATCCCGTGGCAATGGCTTTTCCTGCCTAAGACACGTGGGTCGTGCTCTGTGACTTCAGGGACTGATAGAGTAAGAGGCACTGGCAGATGTCTATCTTCTAATATGTGAGCTCTGGAAGCATTATGCAAAGCAGCATAGGGTTTCAGTCACTGGCGCACAGAAGCCTCCATTTGAAAGGGTGTGGTGTGTTGCAAGACGCATGAAGTCACTTCTTAGAGGTGGATTTAATAAGGGAGGATTAAAGAGAAGCAAACACAATTCTCCAGATCAGAAGAATAACTTGCATGCAAGCACCTATTTTAATTATTCTTCTTTTCTCCATCCTGAGAAATTATGCAAAAATCTGAGGCTCAAATACTGAAACTCAAAAAATGGACTCAATATACTGAAAGAGAAAATTTAACAAGTGAGAAAAGCACCATATCATAGTGGCAAAGTAAGTCAGAACAAATTCATGCCAACCTTCCATATCTTCTACTAGATGACGTGAATTGATATGTTTCTTGAGGATCTACAGCAGGATTGGGATAAAATGTCTTTATTTTGATAGATAGGAGTTGGCAGCATTTTACTTTCACTGCTGTGTTGGCATGAAAGACACTCTTTGTTTTAGCACATCTCATCCAAGAAGCTGGAAACTAATATACGTGGATTATTTTGGTTAGAAAAAAAATTTATTGTTTTTCTAATAAATGAGTTTTAGTAGAGGTGGCTAATCTACAAATCACAGCAAGCTTCTAAAGTTAACTTGAACATATTGCCATTTCATTTTATACCATGGAGAGTTGCTGCCGTCAGGGAGGCGTAGGGGAGCACGTCGACGGGCCGCGGGCAGGCTCTGTCTGGGTTGAGGGTGGGCAGGAAGGAGTTGAAAGGTTTAAAATGTTTGAGGGTATTTCTGATAGAATGGTGGTAGTTGAAGGGAGCATGTTCTTTTTGAAGCATGGTGATTTTGTTCCTGTTCCTGCAGCCGTTGGAGGGACAGTGGCAGAGTGGCAGCCAAGGGACCGGCCCTGAGACGTGGCTGTTTTGTTTCCTGGCGAAGAGGTGTTCTAGTGGCTCTTGGCTTGTAAGTGAATTTCGCCTCTATTGTAAGCCATAGGGACAGTAAGTAAACCGTCCTGTTGTGCAGGTTGCCCAAGACAGTCAGTAGGGTCAAGCAGCAGGGAGGGGCCTGGTGGATGGAGGTAGCCATTTGCTTATCCATCCATTTAAAGTGTGTAATTGAATGTCATCTCTGTGCCAAGAATAGTCTTAGGAACTAAAATACAGTAAGAAACCAAGTAGACATGGATCCTGCCAGGAATAGTATTAAGAGCTAAAATACAATAATGAAGCAAGCGGACATGGATCCTGCCTCCATTCATTTAGTAAACTAATACATAATTAGAACTTGTGCTAAATCCCATAAAGGAGAGGCGCAAGAGTCTGTGATAGAGCATAACTGGGTGGGGTGGGGCAGGGCAGGAGCCTAGGGAACAGGGTGGTCGGGGATAAAAGGAAGAGAAAGGGAGCAGTGAAGTGGCCTTGTGGCCTGGAGGTTACAGTGGCATTGCCCAATTTTCCAGGAGGTGTGAGGCCTGCCCTGAAGGAGCAGGAGTCCACCAGGAAGGGCCACTTTGAGAGTGAAGCTCACCTAGGTCAGCAGCAGAAGGAGCACGGGCCACAACCAAGGTCTGCATAACGCAACGATGCATCAAGTCACGAGGAGGACGTGAGTGTTCTCCCCACACCCCATCCCTGAGGATGGAGAGCTAATGTTTTAAAAAATCGAAAATATCGTTACATGCTTATTTGAAAAAACAAACAGAAACCTTTGAAACAATACATAAACATACATAAAGCAAGAAATAGTTAAGATTTTTGAGCACTCACTGTTTCAAGGATTCACAGGTGTTAACTCATGTAATTCTCATGACAATGCCGCGAGTACCACTTCTCCTCCCCTCCAAATTGGGCATAGCAGGCAGCGAGAGAGAAAGTAACTTTTCCAAGCATACTCATAGAGTGAAAGTGTGAGCTGATATTTGAACTCAGGCAGTTTGTACTGGAGACAAAGACACCAAATCGCCTGTCTTGTCCATTCTTGTACTCGCAATAGGAAATATGTTAAAAATACAGACTCCTGAGCCTCACTCCAAAGCTACTGAATCAGAATCTTTGGAGGTGGGTCCCAGGAATCTGTATTTTTAACTTGTTCCCTAGTAGTTTTTGCAAAGTCTTCTACAGACCGGCATTGGGAAGGAGAGGGTAATGGAAACAACTAAAAAAAAGCTTTTCCAGGTAGGGTAGTAAAGCCTTATAATTTAATGACGGGCTATTCAGTAAATTCAGAGGTCATCTGGAAGATGTCTGTGGATGGACATATGTGGGGTGTGTGCTGTATGTCACTATACACATATATGTGAGCATACATGTATGTGTGAAAAGTGCCCAGAATCAGACAACTGATAAAGACATAAAGACTCTGAAGATAGATTAGATCTGAGATGCTGATGAAGCTACCTGTGGCCAATCTAGTTCTGTTGGTGGTCAGAACTAAAATGACACTGCTAGGACATATCAGTAATTAGTTGAGATATTTATGGTTAACTGTGTAATAAATTTGGTTTATTAGTTTACCCAGGGGGTGATTTAAAAAAATATTATTGATTTGTTTCTCCTAAAGTCACAATTGAAGAATACCACTCAGGAATAGAAGAAATTCCTAATCTATCCGGGATCTGTAATAAGAAACCCATCTGAGATCTGGCGAGGCATGGCTGTGCCATGACCCCCGGTAGGCACAGCTATACAACTGCATAGGGACAGTTACAGAATGGCATCGAGAGATGCGAAGGTTACTTCGTTTTTGTTGCACAGTGGGTCTAGGATTTTGTACTCAATTTGACACCTCAAAAACAATCCATTTCATTGATTCACTCTAAGGTGAACCTCTTGGCGATGACCTTAAAATCCAGATAGAAATGAGTCCCACTGTCTCTCTCCCTGGACAGTACTGGGTAAACACAGGTCTTATTCTTGGGCTATCATTTCCTTTGACTCCTCACGAACCACTACCCTTCAGTTAGTTAGTCCGGTTACATTTGCCATTAAAACAACCAAATACTGGCCTCATGGCTCTGTAAGGCAGTGTTTATGTCAGAAGATGTGAGGAGTCACTTGAAATCATTTATTTAAGAAAAAGAGATTAAAAGTTAATGAACAAGAAAGACCCCGAAAGGACATCCTTCATGTTCATGACTGTTTACCTTTTGTTCCTTCTTTAATTCTGCATATTTCTATTTTGAAATAAACTTCTAAGATTTTCTTAACATCGTCTTTTTTATTTTAACCCTTCTTCCCCCCTTTTTAACCTTTCTTCCCAATTCTAATCGACTGTTACTTTTATTTATGCCTTTGGATTGCAAAACTGAATTGGAATGTTTTCTTCTTTATTATTTGAATATTGCACTGTGCTTCTGTCTGTGTCTTATATTCTCCCTCTTATTTTTTATTATTTGTCTCAAATTCCTTGGATGCTTCAGGCCATTCAGTACTTTCACCCACCGTTCTTTCTTTTTGCTTTTTGAATTACCCCATGAGCCCTCACCACCCACTCCTTCTCCCTCCTCCATAGGCAGTTGTGTCAGGAGAGTGGAGTTTTTCATTACGGATTCAGCAGAATTCATAGGTGCTTGAGTGACAGCCTTCCTGCTGGGAGTCGGCCATCTTGTCCAGTTCTCATACTCCTAAGATGCGGGGTGAGGCCGTAATCTTTCTCATATTTTATTGATGGATACATTGAAGTGATAGAGATTAAACAACTTTCCCAGGAACAAACAATGAGTCAATGATACATGTTTTGCTGATTATCTATCCATTAGAAGTAGACCCATTGGCAACATTCTTCATCTATAAGAAACCTCAAACAAACATAACAAATACTCTTCTAAACACAAATGACAACTTTGTGAAGATCCCAATACGGGCTCTTGGGAGGGTCCCCTGTTTCTTTGCCCTCTAGTTCCCTGAAGCATCCTCTCTTTATCAACAGGCTCAGATGCTCAGCACAACGGCTCTCCATTTCATTCTCCCTTCTAAGCCGAGATCCTATGACCTACTTTCTCCTCCCCTTTCAAAAAGCAGATATTGCACATTAGAATTTCCCAAAGATTACTGAGCACTTAATTTGTTTCTACACACTTTGCTGAAGGTCTCTGTTATTATCTCTAGTTCACACATATTTAATAGCATACGTGTAAGGCCAGTCTCAAGAGATATAACCGTATCTCTTGGTTCTCCCTGTTCAACCTTTTAGAATCCATAGACTATGCCTTTCAGTCGATATGTTCCTAGTTTAGATGTCTTGACTTTCTGATGGTGAAATCAGTGACCCTGGTTATTTATGTGTGACAAGATGGGAGTGTTGTCCGAGGATTGGACAAGGCCTTCTCTCTTACCATCTCTGGATGGTTCATTGCAGGAAATTTTCTGTCCTTTAACCCCAGGAAGTGTCACAGACATTTCCCTTCTCTGTTCACAATGCTGGATCTATTTTTGCCCACATGGCAATGAAGTTGTTTTATAAGCTTAAAAATAGCCTCCTCCTTTTATTCCTATTCTTCTACTACTCCAGCCCTCTGCTTTTCTTAGTCTTTTAGCAAATTATTGTATTCACTGAAGGATATAGAAGTCCCACCATAGGGGGTGAGGAGGTAGGACTGCAAATTGGAAGCCCAGCTGCAAAATGGAGGGGATTGAGGATAATGCTTTACTCTAATTAAAAAAACACAATTTTTCAAGTTTTCGAAAGTAATTGGATGGCCACGCTTATTAATCATCATCATGTTACAAATAATAGTTAACAAAGTGCCCTGTGCTTTACATGTACTAAATCCTATAAGATATATTTAAGACGTCCTTGCATTTTTTTGCTACATTTCATAGGTGAGAAAACAGGTCAGAGAGTTTATACAGCTTGCCCAAGGCCACACAGCCAAAAAATGGTGCAGCAGTTTTCAAACCCAGGTCAGGATGAGACCCACGCTGGTGCTGAGCTGTTTCTCCACTGGAGTAACTCGGATGTGGTCTGAGATGTCCAGTGGGAAGAACTCGTTGCTATAAAATAAAACCATGTATAATAGGTACACAAAATCTGTGCAGTCTGATATCGTGTTGCACAATAAATGTAACTGGAAGCACACCAACAATGCTTGTTAGTATCACTTTTATGCAGTCAAATCAATATTGTTTTTAAAGATTTTACTTTTCCTTTTTCCCCACAAAGGTCCCCGGTACATAGTGGTGTATTTTTAGTTGTGGGTCCTTCTAGTTGTGGCATGTGGGATGCCACCTCAGCATGGCCTGATGAGCGGTGCCATCTGCGCCCAGGATTCGAACTGATGAAACCCTGGGCTGCCGAAGCAGAGTGTGCCAACCCAACCACTTGGCCATGGGGCCATCCCATCAAATCAATTTTTTACTGTTTCTTTCCTCATTTTGTTAGTTTTCAAATATCTCCAGTCACTGTTAGAGTGAACACTTTCTCTGGATGCCTAGAAGGCCATTTCTTGTCTCTCACACAATATGTGAGACAAAGTCAAAGGCTCGATGTTCGGGAGGTCCTGGCTGTTGCTAGCCAGTTCCTAGTTCATCCTTTCTAAGACCAAACTGTAAACAATCATCATCCCAATCCAAATATATTAGGTTTTTCATGCTACCAGATTTCCTGGCATTCCCTCTCTGGCATTTTCTAGTTCTGTGACCTTGGCTATATGCTTTCTAAACTTCAGTTTTCCCATCTATAAAATGGGTATAACAATAGCACTTAGTATGGTGATTAGGATTAAATGAGCTAAAGCTGAATATCCTTGATAAATTAAGTGCTCAGTAAATGTTAGCTGTTACTGTTAAGAATAGGATGCGAATCTCATATTCTTCTCTATTATACAGTGAAAGAATGCAAGAAATGACAATGAATTCTCTGAATTATGTAATATTAATTTAGATATTTTTCAGGGACAACATTTTTTCTATAAATCTTAATATAATAGAAAGTATCTATTCTGAATGGATCCTTCTGAATTAGGAGACTGAAAATATCAGCAAATGGCTTTCAGATAGATTCAATTCATTTTTTTCCCTTATTTTATTTTATTTTTATTTTTCCCAGTTTTATTGATGTACAATTGACAAATAAAATAGTATATATTTAAAGTATACAATATGATGATTTTTTATCTGTGTATTCACTTTATTGTGTTTTTTACAGCTTTATTGAGGTATAATTGACAAATAAAATTGTAAGATATTTAAAGTATACATGGCGATGATTTGATATACATATACATTGTGAAATGATTACCACAATCAGGTTAGTTAACGTACCGTCACCTTACATAGTTACTATTTTTTTGTGTGTGGTAAGAACATTTAAGAGTTACTCTCTCAGTAAATTTCATGTGTACATACAGTATAGTTAACTGTAGTCACCATGATGTCCATTAGATCCCCAGAATTCATTGATGTTGTAAGTGAAGGCTTATACCCTTTCATCAGCGTCTCCCCATTTCCTCCACCTCCCTGGGAACTAGCATTATACTCTCTGTTTCTATGAGTTCAACTTTTTAATTTTTTTAGATTTCACATATAAGTGAGATCACACAGTATTTGTCTTTCTCTGTCTGGCTTATTTCATTTAGCATAATGTCCTCTAGGTTCATCCATGTTGTCACAAATGGCAGGATTTCCTACCTTCTAATGGCTAAATAATATTGCATTGATAAATATGTATATGTATATCACATTTTCTTTAGCCATTCATCTGTTAATGAACCCTTAGGTTATTTCCATATGTTGGCTGTTGTGAATGATGTTGCAATGAATATGAGAGTGCAGCTATCTTTTTGAGATCCTGATATCATTCCTTTGGATGTACACCCAGAAGTGGGGTTGCTGGGTCATACGATAGTTCTATTTCAAATTTTTTGAGGAACCTCCATACTGTTTTCCACAATAGCTGTACCAATTTACATTCCCACCAAGAGTGTATCATTTGTGTGTGCACTAAGTATTTTCATGTAGATATAAGCGTATTTCAAACTCAATTTTTAAATCTGGTTAAGCACTGCTCTTTCTTCCCAGAGTTTAGGGTTAACATGAGGAGAAACCGTATTCTCTATTCTGGATAGTTTCTTTGGAAGTGTTTCCATGACCTGTTTTTGTGTCTCAGAAGCAGCCACGAAAGTTGTTGTCTACCCTCACAAACCAGCAGACGTCATCTCTCAGACTGTCTGTAAACAGGGACCTGGCGGACAATCTTGATGAACAGCTCAGCTCAAGTTATTTATGAGAAACATACAGGATGCTGTAGGAGGAACTTAAAACACAAGCCTTGGATGTCTAATGCAATCAGAAGGCTGTGTCATAAGTGGAAAGGGGAAATCTCTCTTCTAAACGGCACCAATTGTTTTAGTGTTCTTTTAATTTTACCATCTCAGAGACATCAAATCTATAAGTTCCACCAGTCTGATACCTGAAAACAGTTGCTATAGGGATATTTGTGTCTGGTTAAAAAAAAAAGAGTCCTTGAGATTAATCGGCAAGAGGACATAATTTATGATAAATTGTTGTTGAGATGTTTACTCAGAGTTGAATTGATTATCTAAAAGTTGTTTTTTTAAGAGAACATGGACAAAAGTATTCCATAAACTGTTTATTGTGCTTTTACAATAAACATATGAGGGACTTAGCCTTAAAGAAACAATTAAACTTATTCTGAATGGTCTTAAGGAGAGTGTGTAAGACTAACGGGAGAACAAAGCTAGCAGGGCAGAGGAAGGAACTGTCTAGTCATCAGAGATGTTTTAGGGGAACAGAGGGCTTTCTTGGGAACTAGTCAGTTTCCAGTCACTGGTGACGTTCAAGAGTGACTTGTGTGTCTACTTGTCATAGGAGTCATAGAGAACCTTGATGAGGTTAGTGATTTCTCACTCTTACTTTCTTATAAGTGTGTGGTGGAGTTTTCCAGAAGCTACATGATAAATAATTTCATAAGTGATTAAGTGCAGAAGTAGATATAAGAATCTAGCTATCTTCCATTAAAAAGATTTGTAGAAATGTAGAATGATGCTGTCCTTCTAACTAAATAATTTTTGTTTAGGAAAGTTGTTACTTTTCATAAAAGTTACTTATGTTAACTCATGCTGTATTTGTTAGTGTTATTTTTAGTGAATAATGCATAAATATTTTTATCACTTCCCAGTTTTAATTTCTAATAGGGTAAATATAAACAGTTATAATTCATATAAACACTAACTGAGATCCTCATATTTGTTATCTGTTCCAGAGTAACGAAACATCCCAAAACTTAGTGGCTTAAAAAGAACAAATATCTACTACCTCAGTTTCTGTTAGTCTGGAGTTCAGGAGCAGCTAAACTGGGGGATTCTGGGTCTCGTGAGGTTGCAGTCAAGGTCTTGACCACAGGTGCCATTACCTGAAGGCTTGACTGGGACTACAGAATGTGCTTCCAAGAGGGCTCACTCACTGGTTATGAGCAAGAAGCCTCCTTGTGTCCTTACAACATGACAGCTGGCTTCCTCCAGAATGAGTGACCCGAGAGAGAGAATAAAATGGAAGCCACAATGTCTTTTATGACCTCTCCTCAAAAGTCGCATTCTATCATTTTGCCACATTCTGTTCATTTCAAGTAATGTGAGTCGCTAAGTACAGCCCACCCTCAAGGGCAGGGGCATCAGGCGCCACCAAAAGGGTGGGAATACAAGAATTTGTGGGCATATTTTAAAAGCACAACAGTCCTCTTTAAGAACCATGAGACTGGATGATCTTAAAGGGTATTTTTACCCCCAAGTTTCCATGAAGAAGGGAAATGAGGTCAATGTTTGTGTCAGAAAAATATCCAAGGGACCCTCTTGAAAGGATTTCCCTCATTACCTACCTGGCAAATTTCCACCAATTCTTTAAAACTAAGTCCAGAAATCACTTCCTTTAGAAAATATCTAGGCCTCTTCCTCTGTACTACCTCTGTACCTGTGTATTCATCTTTTATGATGCTTTTCACACTGTATTGCAATTATTGTGTTTCTTATCCTCTCATCTTATTAGATGATGAGCTTTGGGTGTCAGGGATGTTATCTTCTTTCTCTGTTTCTCCAGTACCTAGCACTGTGTCATATGTACTCACCTTCAGGATCACATTTACTGCATCCATTTATTCTTTCACATTGTTCCGCCGTTAGTGTCATATACTGTGTTAAGCACTGGGACAAGATTCTTGCTCTCACGGTATATTGTAGTAGGAAGACAGACAATAAATAAGCAAACAACCAAGATCATTTCAGAAAGGGATCCATGCTATGGAGGAAATAAATGCAAATTGAATGATCTGGGTCGTACTGTGGAGTGGTAGCTGCTGTAGCTGGGTGGTCAAGGAACGCTCCTCTGAGGAGGTGACAATTGACTTAAGACTTGATTGTTTTCAGGGACCTTTACTAAGCACTGTAAGTCTACCTGTCTAGCCCTCGCTGGCCCAGCCTGGTGTCTGGAAACTGAGACTGCACCTCCCCCCAATCCACCAGCACGGGACAGAAGTAACAGAATTCTGGGTATAAAATCCAAGGTGCCATGTAAAAGCAAGAATCGGATCTGAGGTGAAGAATCTGTAGGGTCAGTGTGGCCAGAAAGAGCTCATCTGTCGCTTGCCTGTGGCCATGTCAACAGACAGAGAGTGAGACAGTAAGGTTGCTTGGGAAGAAATGTGAGCACAATTGAGGCTGGGAATTACCCAGTGTCACCTAGAGCCCACAGGAAGTAGTGGAGTTGGGCCTCCAACCCAGGCCGTGGGTTCAATACAATTACGTTATTGCTCTTCCACTAAACTCCAGGAACTTATTGGAGGGAGATGAAACATGCCTATTTTAAAGAATCAGAGAGCACAGGCAATGGGTGTCACTGCCGTGCATGTGGGACAAGGAAATGCAAAGCAAGGTGCCGATGAGTGTGGGAGTGGCAGAGCTCGTTTGGGCCTTTCATGCTTGCACTTGTCCTGGCTTCTTTCTCATCCCATCCCTTCAGGCCCAGTGTCCTTGTGCTCTTTTTTCCCTATCCAAACATGTTCTCAGGGAAAATCCCCCAATCCAGGAAACCTTCAGTTGGTGCATAACAAAGGCGTGGTCCAGCTGTCTCTTAACAGCCGAGGTACTCTGTTCGGGAATCTAGTTGGGGAAAGATTCTGGAAGATTTTTCCTGACTTTGAAAATATTTTCACAATTGAATCTTAATACCCTAAAAACA